CAGGGAGCCCGACGCGGGACTCGATCCCGGGACTCCAGGATCATGACCTGAGCTGAAGGCAGTCGCTTAACCAACTGAGCCACCCAGGCGCCCCACAACACAACTTTCTTATTTTACAGTTCTGGAGGTCGGGAATCCAAAATCAGTCTCACAGAGCCAAAGTCAAGGTGTCAGCAGGGCTGGTTCTTTCTTGAGGCTTAAGAGGAAATTCATTTCCTAGCCTTTTCCAGTTTCTAGAGAGTGCCTGCATTTCCTTGGCTCGTGGCCCCTTCCTCCGTTTTCAGAGCCCCAGCATTGCCTCTGCTTTCATCTCAGACCTCTGCTTCTGTCCTTGTATCTTCTCTCTCTGACTCTGATCCTCCTGCCTCCATTTTATAAGGACTCTTATGATTATATCGGGTCCACCCAGATAATCCAGGATAATCTCTCCATCTCACGATCCTTAATTTAATCACATCTGCAAAGTCCCCTTTACCATGTAAGGTTACATTTACAGGTTCTGGGGATTAAGATTGGATTATTCAGCCTACCACAAGGATTATTCATTCAATTTCAAAACCTAGACTTGGGCAGGGAGAAGGATGTGTTGGAACTCCTGCTTTGGAATGGGGAATGGTAGGCACTCTTCTAGGCAAGTGACTCTGTACCTGATTGGGGTTTACGCTGTATACAACAGCAAAATCCATTTGCTTTCTGGGTATATTTAGATTCTCTTTTTTGAATTGTTTGAGGGTTTTTATCCACAGAGATGTCTACTGTCAAATGAGGGGTCCCCATCTTAAAGCCACCAGGTTCTGATGAGCCACATCCATTATGTTCCTTCTTTATTCCGTTCACTGAAGTTACTGAGTGACTACCAGGTACGAGGCAGCATGCCAGGATGATGTGAAAATCTCCACGCCATGCCCCGTTCCCTTGTGGAGCTTATGTCTAGCAGAGGGAGAAAGGTACATAAGCAATTATTTTTAACACAAAGCAGGATGTGTTAAGTGAGGTAACAGTGACAAACGGAGGTGGCAGGAATACAAGAAGGTGACATTAGTTCTAGCCCCTAGAGATCTCAGATCATATGGCCCAGTTTGGGGCTTAGAAATATGATTGCTATATGTACCTGACTTTTAGGTTATTAACTCTTGTAGGCTAAGGATTTTAGGGCTTGCTTTTTCTTCCTTCCTTCCTTCCTTCCTTCCTTCCTTCCTTCCTTCCTTCCTTCCTTCCTTCCTTCCTTCCTTTCTTTCTCTCTCTCTCTTTCTTTCTTTCTTTCTTTAATAGGATGATGTGTCTCTTCTTTTTTAAGGATCTTTGGTTCAAAAGAGGTCCCTAACTCTGTTGACTCATATGAAATCACTTCCACTCAAAGTTGGTGAAGGTTGGGGACAATATGAATTTGTGAGGCAAAGCAGAAGTTGGGAAGAAAATCTGTGAATCTTATTTCATGCTGCGTCGGAATGGGTAAACTTCTGTAACCCGCGCCACTCGGAAGAGCACTTGTTTCTCGTCGCTGACCTACAAATACCCAGCGAGGTTGGCTTTCCTAGTTGGAAAGACAGCTCTTCTCGCGTGTCCTTTCAGAGGTGAAGGGGAATCTCCTGCAAGAGCTCCCTCCAGTCCAGAACACAGTTTTAGAAAATACAGCTGACTTCTCTGGGAAAAACAAAACCAATCTTGTGTTACCCTGTCATGGAAATTAAGTTGGCACCTCATTATCACCTTGTTAGTGGGACAGGCTGTGTTGTGGACAACCCTGGTAGGAAGGGTTGGCCCTGTGTGGGCAGGGTTTTGTGTTAAGCTTAATTGCTCTTCTAAAGCTCAGCTACTTAATACTACACAAGTAGAAATCTTTCATCAGACTCTTGACCATCCTCTTTTCCCTTCATATTCTCGCCTACATAGACAATTAGTGCCTCCCTAGCTCTGCTGCTGTCATGATTTGTGCTCCGGACACACTGGGGCACCAAGGCTTGGCTGTAACCAGCACAACTACTCCAGAGGAGGAAAGCTCTGTAACCACCTTTAACCATGACTCCCCCAGCCCCCCAATATCTTAAAATACAGCCAAACTCTTCTGTCCTGGGAGCACAGCAGGGCTGCTGGCTGGGTGAAGGTAATGTCTCTTCAGTGACTTATGGAAAACTCTTGATTTCTCACAGAATGGGAAAGAGTAATCCAAAATCATTTTTATCTGGCTCTGAAGTGTGTTTTACACTTATGTTTGAATATTGGTGTGCCTGATGTTCTGAGAACTCACTTCAAACAAAGCAGTGCTGCAGCCCATGAAGAGAAGGTGTTCTCAGGGAGGGCTGAGACGCTGCTTACCTAACCACCTATGCCCCTTCTCTTCTTTTCAAAACCTGGCTGGGGTTTGAATCCCACGCCTGTATTCACCAACGGTGAGTGTTTGTAAGAAGGTCACCTCATCTTTCTGCACTTTAGATTTGCCTTGCAAGATGGGGTGAACCTTTTCCACCCAATAGGACTGATGGAGACATCAAAGGGGATGACATAGGCTGAGCACTGGTCACACAGGAGCATCGCGCGCAGTAAATGTTAGGCTCTCTCCTGTTCACCTTCCTCTCTACCACCTCCACACCTCCTCCCTGCCTCCCACGGTTCTCTCAGACCAATGCAAAGTGCCAGCCTAAGCAGAAGCCCTCTTTCCTCGAAACATCTCCACAAAGTGGGAGAGCTGTGACATGGCCCACACTTTCCTTGTCTCCCCTTTTTTCCTCACTGGGTCCACCCCCAGCCTCTCTCTTCTTTGTTTCATCAGATTTACTCTGTCCAGAGCCTGTGACAGTGGAGACCTTGTGTGAAGGGTCCCAGCCTTGCTATTTCTGCCCCACACTCCCATAGGCATGCTGAATATAGAGCCTGGGTTGTCCATGGTAACCCCAGTTTCAAATGCTCAGTCCTCTTCTTCCCGTTACCGTTAACATGACCTGGGAATTCCAGTTCATCAACATCCCAAACACATTTCCTCGATCACCCACTACCCAGAAGGAGAGTTGAAGACCCAGAAAACACGGTCTGACCAAAGAGCCCTGACAATGGTAACCACCTATCCAGACTTTCTGGGAAAGTCTGTCCCCTTTCCAGATCGTGCATCCTGGTTTTTGGTCAAGGAAACACCACAACCAACTAACAGAGGTCACATGAAAGGCACGTGTAAGACAGAACACCGCCTCAGTAAGCTTCTGTGAGTGCCAACCACTGCCTACGACTTCAGATTCAGAGTCTTCACTTGTAACTTTTTTGATTATTCCTTATGCTAGTTGGGTTTGAGAGTGGATTGAAGGGAGCTTGATTACTGTTGCTTTTGGATGTGAAATGAGGATTGGGATGAAAATGTGTTTGGCACAAATATACACATAATTTACTCTGGATGTGAATGTGAAGCCTGCTTTTTTTTTTTTTTTTGCTTAACATATAGAGTATATGGATTTGCTCATGTCACTAATTTGTTGTTGTTGTAAACAATGACCTTACCAAATTCGAGTAGTATCTACCATTGGCAATGATGGGGTGCGGCATGGATGGGGAGAGCGGAGACCAGGGGATTTTAGTATGTTGGAATGTTTCCTATTTTAACCTTGGTGTTGGGTATACTTTTTTGAATGTTTTAAAGATTACATAATAAAGTAGAAATTTACATCAATAGTAAATGATTCCTTGACATTTTATTATGTAGATATATCATAATTTACTTCGTTTAAACTGTCCCCTAGCCCCTGTTATCGGAAATTGGTAATTTTCAACTTTGGACTCTTAAATGATGTAGTATTATTAAGCACCTTTGGGCAAGTTTTGTCTGCATTATTTCCTTAGGACAGATTTATAGAACTGAATTATTAGGTCAAAGAGTATGGCTGTAATGAGTGCAGATTATCAGGCTATCTTTTAACAAAGTTGCACAAGTTTAGACTATCACTAACATTGTGTCCACTCTACTTTATCTTATCAGTACTGAATGCTCTTAGTAAAAAATATATTTTTTTTTTGCTATTTTGCTAGAGAAAAAATTTTTTCTATTGGTTTTAGCTTGTGTCTCTGATTACCAGTGAGATTGACCGTTCTGTCATAAAATAATTTTTTCTATCAGAGTTTTTAAACAAATTGGTGTATGTGTGAGTACAGGCTTTTTGCAGACTCACTTGTATGTGGGGTTTGCGTGGGTGGGTTTTATAGGAGATGGGGGACCAGGGATAAGCGAAGAAAGAGCCCCCGGCGCCCTGGGTGAAAACTAGCTGTGCATCTAGATTTTGTGTTTCTGCAGTGCCGCCAAGCTCCTGGACAAGAACCCGTTCTCGGTCAGTAACGCGAACCCTCTGCTTCCTTCACCTGCCAGCCTCCAACTGGCTCAACTGCAAGCCCAGCTCACCCTCCACCGGCTGAAGCTGGCGCAGACAGCTGTCACCAACAACACCGCGGCCGCCTCAGTCCTGAACCAAGTCCTCTCCAAAGTGGCCATGTCCCAGCCTCTCTTCAACCAGCTGAGGCATCCGTCTGTGATCAGCGCCCCCCACAGCCAAACTGGGGTGCCCCAACATGCTGCAACCATATCCAGTGCCCGGTTTCCCTCTAATGCAATTGCCTTCTCGCCCCCCGGCCAGACACGAGGCCCAGGACCCTCCGTGAGCCTTCCCAGCCAGCCCCCCAACGCCGTGGTGATGCATCCTTTCAGTGGGGTCATGCCTCAGACCCCTGCCCAGCCAGCAGTCATCTTGGGCATTGGCAAGACTGCACCTGCTCCCGCTGCAGCAGGATTCTACGAGTATGGCAAGGCCAACTCCAGCCAGGCGTACGGCTCTGAAACAGACAGCCAGCCCAGCTTCCTGCCAGTCGTGGCCTCTACCACGGGCAGTGTGACCTATGAAGGGCCCTACAGCCACTCAGGGCAAGATGGCCAACCTGCCTTTCCCAAGGACTTCTACGGACCCAACTCCCAAGGGTCGCATGTGGCAGGTGGATTCGCGGCTGAGCAGGCCGGGGGCATGAAAGGCGAGGTAGGTCCGCTGCTGCAGGGTCCAAATAGCCAGTGGGAGAGCCCCCACGGATTCTCTGGCCAAAGCAAGCCCGATCTTACGGCAGGCCCTAACCTGTGGCCTCCACCCCGCAGCCAGCCCTATGAGCTGTATGACCCCGAGGAGCCCACCCCAGACAGGACCCCTCCTTCCTTTGGGGGTCGGCTTAACAACAGCAAGCAGGGTTTCAGCGGGGCCCGGCAGCGGGCCAAGGAGGAGCAGGCTCTGCTGTCCGTGCGGCCCCTGCAGGCTCACGAGCTGAATGACTTTCACGGTGTGGCCCCCCTGCACCTGCCACACATCTGTAGCATCTGCGACAAGAAGGCGTTTGATTTGAAGGTGAGTCCTCCACGCCAGCCCGGGAGCCACAGCTGGAGCCTGGGGGGCTCACGACCACAGCCCAACACTTGCTCCTCGGGAGCTAGGAACGGTTCCATTTGGGGACTCGGTGGCAGGATTTTGCCATCGGTACCCTCGATCAAAATTATAGTTATTAGAACACAAATTCATCTCAGAAATGTATGAGGGCCACTCCCTTGCTTTAAGGCAAGTAAGAGATCCTTACCCATGTTTATTGAAGAGAAAGCTGCGGCCGAGCGGGGGTTCAGGTGACCCCAGCTGCGTGACAGAGAAGGGACTCAGGAACTGGTCTCCTGCCTCCTTGAGGAGGGCTCTTCCTCTCTGGTATGCCCAGAGTACATCGTACTGAGTATGGAAGGGGAGGAAAACGCTGGCCGAATTTTGGATGAGGGCCAGAGAGCACTTCTCAGGTGAGACCGAGACACATCACTGTAGAGCGCCTCAGTTTCCCATCTGCAAGATGGAGACGGAGCCTCATCACACCTTCCCCGTGGTCATAAGATGCTTTGGGCCCATGTAAGCAAAGGTCTATTATAGTATAAATGCCCCCCCCAAATGTATTAATGATGCAGTGAAATATTCCAAAGTGATAATATTAAAAGAGCTAACATATAATAAATCCTTTCCATATGCCAGCAGTAACGCTGTGAGGTAGATCCTATTATCAGTCTCATTTTGCAGATGAGGAAACCGAGGCCCAGAAAGAGGAAAGGACTTGTCCAGGGCCCCGTAGCTAGAGAGCGGCAGAGTGGAGACTCGAACGTGGGTCTGGTGCTCCCAGAACCTGTGTGGCTTAAGCACTCTTAAGCAGCCTCTCTTTGCCCACACTGTCTGCAGAGCACAGTGATCCCGGTGTAGTGGGAGTCACGCCACAGTGTCCTTTGCCTCTGCTTGGGTCACACTGTGCAAGTTCATCCCTGCCATCAGTGGCGGAGGCGGGGGTGGCCGACACTGCGAGGCGATGGCCAATTTTGTCCCTCATAAGCCTTTCTTAAGCTTGGCAGCTCACTGTGAGTCCACCTGCCAAGATTTCCCCAACCAGTCATAGAAATGGGTGGGGTGTCTCTGGGGGGGGGGGAGAAAGGGAGGGGGAGGTGGGAGGTGCCATGAGACCAAGGGTCCACTGAGAGGGGAGGAGGGACTCTGGCTTGGGATTCTGGGCTCCTGTCCAAGATGGGTGCAGGATGTGGGGGCTGGACGGATGGATGGATGGACGGGAAAGTAGGTGTGGGGAGGAGCCCAGGAGGGAGAGGTGTTGGCAGGGTTGGTCCTATCTCTGGGCTCTGAGCCGCCCCCCACCCCCCCGGGCCCCAGCCTGACGGGGAAGCCTGCCCTCGTCCCTTTCCTTCTCATGGACTCAGTTCTACTTCGGTCACTTTCCTTTCCTTCTGGTCTAGGACTGGGAGCTGCATGTGAAAGGAAAACTACATGCTCAGAAATGCCTGGTCTTCTCTGAAAAGTGAGTGCTGGCCAGGAGAACAGGCGCATGCAGATGCTCAGGAAATATTCATTGAGCACCTACGGCATGTTCTGTTTTGGGTGCTGGGGAAGCAGCAGAGAACAAAACAGGCAACGTCCCTGTCCTCAAGGAGCTTATACTTAACGTGGGTGAGAGGAGCAGATGATAAAATAAACAAGTGACTTCGGTAGCATCCCTGGTGGTGAACCTAAGCAGAAAACAGCGTCAGGACAGGGCAGGAAGCATGTGGGCGCATGCATGTGCCCTCCAGGGGGCTGGCCCTTGCATTTTAAATAGGGTGGTTGGGGAAGGGCCTCTCTGAGGACACCTCAGGAGGGAGTGGAATGAGTTCATGGCTGTCTGGGGGACAGGTACTCCCAGGGCGGAGAGAACAGCAAGTTTGAAGGCCCTGGTGTGGCCCTGGGATGCTCAGGCAACATCGGTGTGACGAGAGCGGAGTGCTGGGGTGAGGAGCCAGGGAAGGTGCCGGGGCCCAGATCCTGAGCTCCTGGGCTTCTTGTGAGGACTTTTTGCTTTGAGAGTGAGTGGAGTATCAGAGAGCTGAACAGAGGAGTGATGCTTTCTGGCTCCACCGAGCGGGGCTGTGGCTGCTGGGCTGAGAAGAGAAAGGGACGGATTGAGGGCAGAGCAGTAAGCAGGGGGCTGGGGTCCTCCAGGCAGAGGAGAGGGCACATGGCCCAAGATGTGAACACCAGACTGGACTTGAGTGTTTTGAGAGAAGTACATCGAAAAGGCTTCCCTTTCTTATTCACAATAGCCAGTGGGTGGAAGCAACCCAAATGTCCACTGACAGATGAACAGATTAACAAAATGTAGTCTATCAATACACTGGAATATTATTCAGCCTTAGAAAAGGGACCTCTGACCTCTGTGACAACATGACTAAACCTTGTGGACATTGTGCTCTGTGAAGTAAGCAAGTCACAAAAGGACAAATACTGGATGATTCCACTAATAGGAGGTAGCTAGAAGAGTCAGGTTCATAGAGACAAAAAGCAAAATGGTGGTTGCTGGGGGCTCAAGGGAGAGGAAGTGGGGTGTTCGTTTTTAATGGGGGCAGCTTCAGTTTTGCAAGATGAAGAGTTCTGGAGATGGATGGTGGTGATGGTTATACAACAAGGTAAATGTGCTTAATGCCACTGAATTGTACACTTAGAAATGGTTAAGACGGTAAATTTTGTGTTATGTATATTTTATCACAATTAAAAAAAATAATTTTATAAGGGTCTCCCTTTTCTGGCTCCCTCTTTTTTTACTGTGTTAAAATTCACTTAAGATTCACCATCTTAACCATTTTATTTTATATCTTTATTATTTTTTTAGTAAATATATTATTATTATTTTTATATATAAATATATATATTTAGTAAATATATTTTATTACTTTTTTAGTATGCTCCACAGCAAGGGTGGAGCCCAATGTGGGGCTTAACTCACAACCCTGAGATCAAGACCTGAGCTGAAATCAAGAGTCAGATGCTTAACCGACTGAGCCACCCAGATGCCCCCATTTTAGTCATTTTAAAGTGTACAATTGAGTGGTATTTAGCAGATTCACAAGGTTGTGCTAATATTATCACTATGGAGTTCCTGAACATTCTCATTACCCCAAACCCCATACCCATTAAGTAGTCATTCCCTTTTCCCCTCCCTTGTAGTCCTTGGCAACCACGAATCTGCTTTCTATCTCTGTGGATTTGCCTCTTCTGGACATTTCATACGAATGGAGTCATTTAATATATATGACCTTTTATTACTTTTTTCACTCAGCAGAATATTTTCAGGGTTCACCCATGTTTGTAGCATATATAACCTTTTTATGCCTGAATAATATCCCATCGTATGTAAGTACCACATGTTGTTTATCTGTTCATCTTTTGATCTCTATTTGGGTTGTTTTTACCTTTTGGCTATTGTGAATAGTGCCGCTATGAGCATTCATGTTCAAGTTTTTGTTTGAACATCGGTTTTTAACTATTTTGGGCCCATGGCTAGGAGTGGAATTTCTGGGTCATATGGTAATTCTTCATTTAACTTATTGAGATCCTGGTTCCCCTTTTCCACCCCTCTCCAGTGCTGGTATCCGGTGCGTACTCGGTTCGGCGGAGGGAACGCTGTGTTCCTCTCCAAACAGCACAGCCGTTTATAACCCTGCTGGGAACTCTGAAGGTGAGTAAGGCCCTTCGGGTGGGCAGCTTGAAGCAGAAACCAGCATTCCAAAGGCTTATGATGTCAGGTCTTTAATAACTAAACTTCCCTGCCGATGTGCCCTATCCTACCCACCCCCCCACCATCTATAGGTATATATGTAAAGCAAACAGATCCCAAGACACTAAAATATATTGGCATTACTGTCTAGGCTCTTAGAGACATAAATTCTTTGTTGTCAGTATGCCCAGGGGTAAAAATCACACCAATCACTTATCAATATATGAAGAGGAAATTTTAATTTTTTTTTCCAACTTACATCCTAATAATGACTTTTGAAGGTAAAGTAAATGACTAGGATTTCACACAGCTGGTGTAATTTATCATTTAGATTATGCCTCAAATCTTGGATCATCATACGCGGCCATTCCAGCAAGGTCATTTGCTCAGTCAAATCCCGCATTTCCTTCGGCTTCCCCTGGGACAAATGTGAGTACAGAAGCATTTTCTCCATTGTCACTGTCCACGCATTTGTATCACCGGCTCCGCCTGGGTATAGAGGTACACAGAGGAGGCTGGGATGAAGCTAGCGCAGATGTGACTTTGTGTAGTACAGGAAAACGCGTCCCGTGGGCAGAGGTCAGTTGTTTAATTCAGCTAGTATTGAAACACATAGATAAAAAAACTAACATACTTAAAATCAAAAGCATGCCTAGACTTTCTAGCATTCGATATTTGTTTTGGGGTGGGGGGGAGGTTTGAGCTTCTGTATGTGTGTGTGTTTTTAAGACTTTTTGTATTTTATTCAAGTTGGTTATTTCCTGTGATTGGGTAATTCTGAAGGTTGAACCAGAAAGAGAAAATGTGTTTGAAAGTAAGGACCGTGTAGTCATGGTATTTGTTGGCCCTTTGGGGAAATAATTGCTTCTATGAAATCCTTTTTGGTTGTTTTCGTTCCTCTCTCTACAACCTGCTCTTCAGTCCCCCAAAGCTTCATTCCTCCTTTTCCCACTGATGGTGACAGTTTCCTTTCCCTCTTGGTTTTGCTGTTTGCCCACCGCGTGTGGCCTCTTCCTCCCGAAGCTGTCGGGCACCTCCTCTCCTGAGAAGACGTGGAAGGAGGTGGGAGACGCAGAACCAGACCGGCTGTAAAACAAAATGTGTGTGGCCGGACCCTGCTAGAGGGTGCGTGTCCGTGTGTTTGTGGCCATGCCTGTATTTCTTCCAGTTTGTGGCGGCGGGGAGCAGCTCTTTCTCTCCTCTCCTGCGACCCACGAGCACGAGCTCCTGAGAGTGGGCCCCGCATGCCGTCCCCTGCACGCTGCTGCTTTGGGGTGTCATGCAAACTTCAGGAGGGCAAGCTGAGAAGTGTAGGTGTTAGGCCCTGGGGGATGAGTGAGTGGGGAGGCCTGCCTGGGCGGAGATTTCCATTTGTTTGTGTCTGTGTGTGATGTTTAATGGGAGAAGCGCTCCAAGGCGGAGCTCTGGGCCGACAGCCCACGCACGTTTTGGTGAAAGAGAATTTTGTGGTTTCCCACTCCGCACTCTCCATGCTGAGGGCCACGCTGGGGTAGCGCAGCTTTGGGTCAGTCCCAGGAGAGCAGAATGGCTGGGTTCAGTGAGGAGACCTGTCATTTGTCTTTGACCTTGTGTCTGGATGGGGGTGCGGGCAGCGCCAGCAGCAGCCCCACCGCAGGGCCTGTTTCCCACTGTGGATCGTGGAGGCATGTCTGTGCCCACAGCCCTGCTCTGACATCTTAGCCCTAGGACAAAGGGACTGTGACCAGGCTGGGGAGGCTGGATTAGGCGGCAGGTGGGCCAAGGGTCGGGGCAGGGAAAGGGAGCCAGTGTCAACTGAGCCCCTTTATAAAGGGGAAGAGGCAGAGTGGTGGAGGAGAAGCCAGAGCGGGATGCCTGTGCGTCTGTTCCGTGCCTCAACCCCGCCCTCCAGCACTGACCCGTGAGCCGGAAGCCCTTTCCTGTGCGTGTGGAGCCAAGAGACCTAAGGTCGAGCCCTAGTCTGGAGCCCACCAGCAAGTCACTTTATTGCTCTGAGGCTCCGTTTCCTTAAATGGGGGAATCACCCCACTAATAATGACTTTCGAAAGTAAAGCAAACAGCTGCATCTTTACCCGACTTGTGTAATTGATCATTTGGATGATGCCTCAGATCTTGGAAGCTTCACACCCTCCAAGCGGTCTCCTGAGGGGTGGTCGGAGCTGGAAGGTGGTAAGCCAGGTTGCACAGAGACCAGAGCTGTCACGAGGATCACGCATGACACGGACCCACGGCGGCGTGGGAACTGCGCATGCGGCAGAAGCACCAATGGCGGCGACGGAGCAACTAGTCCTTTTAACCCCCTGTGGGGAACCTATCCCGTCCAAGGCCGCGCTGTCACGTGACTGCCCCACGGCCGATGGCTGGCCGGGGGGAGGAGCCCCGTGACCTTGGGCACGTGTCGGTGGTAGTGTACCTCCCTCCCGCGCAGATCTGTCTGGTACTTCCGGTGGTCGTGTCTACTTCTTAGAGGCGTCGCCAGGCTCCCATGAAAGCACTCTACTTATGCGTGTGGTGGGCACAAGCGAGCTGATGATTCCTGTTGATAATGATTCCATGATAACTCGTGTCAATACACGAGCAGAAGCTCTGAGTGCAACTTCCTCCAAACGCCTAGAGATGAGAGTTCATCCGGCTTGAGTCTGAGGAGGGGCAACACTAGGAGCCCTTCGCTTTCCGCACTGGCAGCCAGCAGGAGACGGAGACCCCAGACATTGCAGGCTGACGATGCTGACCATAGCTAACATTTATATAGTGCTTAATAGGTTCTTAGCATTTTCATATGTATTATGTCATTGAATCCTCCAGACAACCCCGTGACGTGAGGAAACTGAGGCGCAGAGAGACTAAGTGCTTTGCAGAAAGTCACACAGCTGATAAATGGAAGTGTTGGGATTTGGCCTGGCTCTAGAAGCCTCTCTTGTAACCACTGAGCCCTGCTGCCCCTTTTTGAGGGTCTCTGAGTTCTCTTCCTTGCTATGATTCTCTCTTTAGTGAGCCTTTTCCTCCACCCCCCCACCCCCCATCCACTTCCACGCCACACACTGCTCAGCAGGATCTGAAGCTGCCTTGGGGATGGCAAGAACTTCTTGGGCTTCAGCTAGCCGTCAGCCATGGAGCAAGGTGAAGGGGCCAGTGAGACCTGGCACCCAAATTCTTCTGCATTGTGACAGTACCCCAAGATGAGCTGTTTGGAGACATTTCCTACAGATCCAGTGGATGGGGAGGGGCACCACCTGACTGGTCTTACTGTTGTAAGTTCCATGAGGTCTTGTTGGTCACATGAACCTTCCCAAGGACGTCTGGGGGACAAGGACAAAGCCTGCCCCAACCAGTCTCTGTATCATCAGTGCCTGGATGGTCACATTGTCTGTCAGATTCTGGTCCACCGAATGCAAGTGTGTCTGTCTTTAGGAAAACTGGAAGTACACAAATACTGACATGTGGAGAAAAGACGAAAAATGAAGAGCTGATTCATCTGCTACAGAAAGAGACTTTGCAAGGCTCCTTTAAGTAGCAGAGGTGTCCCTCAGAGAAATTATTGTTTTTTCTGCCTACAAACACTGACCTCCAAAGATAAGCAGATACATCAAGGGGTGATTACTCTGTTACCAGAAGACACTTTGTGAGGCTCGAGGAGTGCCCAGTGGGCTCCTTTTGTATATACATTTCTATTCTTTTTTTCTGCTTACATAATTTATGCTCTTAGTGAAAACTCAAACAGAAAAGAAATATTTCATGAGGACAGGGAAATTCCTCCATTATCCCCCTCCCAGCCCTCATAGAGAACCCATAAAAGCTTTGATGCATTTTTTTTCTTCAGAAATGTTTTCTGGTCCTGTGCCAGGGCTTTTTAAGGCCCATTCCACTTACATACAGCTTTTCAGAAACACATTTGGTTGAGTAAAACCAGAACCAGCCAGGACTCTGCCATTATAATATCACTGTTATTCATGGAGCAAAGAGCAATTGCTGTCTCTAAAGCTCCCTGTCTTTAAGCAGGAAAACAAAGCGACACAGGGCTCTGGGAATGGGCTTTCGGAAGGTCTCTGCACTACTGCAAAATCTAAAAGGACCAAACAACCCATCTACCACCTGCACCAAGCCCAGGCTGGGCTGAACGTTCGCTTCTGTCAGCTCTGTGGGAGCGTGAGCCTTTCATTTCTGTGTTTATTGTTGACAGAGATGGGACACTGAACTGACAGTGGTGTGCTGGGTTTGCTGCTGGTGGTGGCGGTGATTTGTGCCCGTCCCTCCCACCCCAGGGTCCCAGGAGAGGGGTGTTCACTTTCACTTAAGCTTTTGCCATTTGACAGAGCAGAGGCACTTTATCCTTGGCTGCCTGAATAGTCATAAACAGAGTAATCGGGTTCCTGGAAGGGGCCATTGGGGCCTTCTCAGGCTGTAAATAGTTTTCTTGTGCTTGTCCAGGATGCACTTTGCATGCTGACATTTCCACAGCCACCTCGGAGCTTATGTAGTGCTGGTGCTGCTGACAGGCTGCCCTGGCCTGGGAGGCCAGACATCTTGTTCAGGGTTTCTTTCTCACCAGAACCCTGCCCACCAGAAAACTTGTATAAGTAAGGAAACTGAGGCACAGAGAAACATACATGTTTGTGGAAGGCCAGAGGTTTAAGTTGCTCCTCAGATGACTGGCAGTTCCGGAACTTTCCTCTGTCTGTCTGCTGTGGCCTTCCTGGTCCATGGCTCAGAGCACCCTGGTCTCCTGACTTGCAGAGAGCGTGAAGAGCAGTAACTGATGTGGCAAAGGATACCTGTCCCTCCCCTGCCCCTCCAGCTCTGTCCTTGCTCTTGGGCCCTGGGTGGGGGTCACCTTGTGCATTTTCAAAGCGAGCAGAGAGCGAGGGGGAAACAGGATGGCTTTTGTTTTCTGGAGGTTTTTTCCTTTTCTTTTTACAAATCTTAAGTATTTTTTCTTGTTGCAAAAGTAGTACAAACATAGTATAAAAAATCCAAACAGTAACAGAAATATAAAAAAGAGAAAATCCAGCTCTACAGGGAAAACTGACAGTAAATGTCTTATACTGTTCATCTCTAGCTAGTGTACGTGTGCATGTTTAATTAGAAAAAGTATATATTTTTGCAAACGTCAGAAAATGCCGTATAATATTGTGCAACTTGGTTCTTTCAATACGTATTTTAATTGGTGTCTAGACGTCTTTCCATATCTAAACATAAAACCCTATCTTATGCTGTAACACCATTTATTGAATGCATTTACCTTGATTTATCAAGTCTGCGAATGATCGATTTTTCGGCAAGACCAGAGTTGTAATCATGAATCAACCACTGTTTAGTTGCCCACAGTTAGTTTCTCCTAGGCATCAGAGTGTAAGATTCTGTGACTCCAAGGTTTACAGGGATATTGAAGTTACTTGGCAGGTGAACCACCCAAGACCTGTAGGCAGGTC